AGAACAAGAAGGAGTGTCCTGAGTACTGTTTTGATAGTCCCAGGGAAGTACATGTCCAGGGTTTCTTGCTTATTCTGGACCCAAAGAACCCAGAACAAGCTCTTAGAATGCAGGTTCCAATGGACCTTTGTAGCCGAGCACCGGACGGTGAGCACCAGAGCCAGAGTTGCATCATCTATCAGTTACAGGCAACTACGACGTACGAGTCTCTCTGGGAGACTGAGAAAGATCCCTTGGTCCATCCTTTGGAAATGAAAGATGAAGGGGAAAATCACAGCCAGCATGCCAAGGTGACATCGGTCTGAATGATAATGAAATCATACCCCCGAGAACTCAGGACCGGGAGGTATTTCATTCTGTTGTGGATGGGTCTCTATGAGTTGGAATTGATTCGACAGCACCTAACAAAGATAAAATGCAAAACCAAACCGACAGCTGATTCCAACTCACAGTGAACTCCATAGGGTTCAGAGACTGTCAGTCTTTATGGAAACAGTCTCATCTTACTCCCATGGAGCAGCGAGTGGGCTGGAACTTCCAGCCTTGCAGTTAGCATCCCAACACCTTACCCCCAGTGTCAGCAAGGCCACTAAGGACGCCCTCGGAAGTAGGTAATAGTTCATTTTCATTTCCCTGAGGAAACATGAGATCACAGGGAAAGCCAGGATTCAAGCGTGGGTCTGCTACCTCTGTTGCCTTGGACATGTCCCCACAATGTACAGAAGAGAAGGACGAGCCGGCTTGGAAATCCAGTTTTGGAATTGGTTAGAAATGTGAAGCTGTCAGGGGAATCGCAGACTGTGGAGGACCAAGCTGGACCCGGAGAAGCGAGTGGGATTTCAACTCACGGAAATAAGAATGTGAAGGGTATGCTGGCACTGGAAAGAGCTAAGCACAGTCAACATCCGAGAAGAAGCTCTGACGTTGTACGGAGAAAATGATCCCTGAGAAGATGGGAAGGTTAATTTGAGGTGATAACCCGGCTAGCCTGTGGTTCCAGGGTGGCCACTAGTCAAGTTGTTATCATGGAGAAGTAGCAAGTGACACATCAGTTAACGTTGGGTTGAGCAGTTATCTTTTCATAATGGTTTCTACAGCAATGGGATATACCAAATTTTATATAAATAACACACACACACACACCATACGCATTTCCACAAACCACCAACTGGGGGGCTAGCTTCCCATGCACACACAATAAGTGCGGTCTAGATGTGTACTTGTTGTTCCTGGGAATGCTTTCTAGGTGGGACAAGGTGGTGATGATCTTCCATCACGTGACATAATCTATCATTGCATTGTAGGGTGGATCCTAAACCTAATCACTTCTGAATTGGGAAAGACACAGATCCAGAAGGAGGAAGGTAGGGGGCATGTGGAGATTGTCTGCCAAGAATCCCTGACAGACACCGGAAGGAACAGACCCAGCGGAGACTCTGCTTTGGAGCGCCAGCCTCCAGAGCTGTGAGGTGACAGAGGCCCACTCTGTGACAGCAGACCAAGGGAACTAAGACAGGCAGCTGCCACATTCCCGGAAACCAGTCTCAACAGGGTATTGCCCCCGATGACGGTGAGTCCATGAAGAAGACACGCATCCCAGCCGCCTGCCCGCTTCTCCAACAGCTGGATCCCCAGGAGGATCCCCAGGTATGCTTTGGCAATAGATTCTGACATAGTTTGAGGGTCAATCCAGGGCCTTGGGAAATGGTTGAAAAAAGAAGAATCATCCTTGAAAGTCAGTTGGCTGTAGGCAGCCCTAGAGATGGAAGGAGGGTGACTGGGAAATCCATTTCCGCTGGTAGCCATGCTGGAACGTGGACCATGGGCCTGGTGCTGGATACACACTCATTAATGGGGCCCACTTGGTCCAGAGGGCACCAGGACAATGGGCTGAAGTCCATACCCCTCCGATCACTCGCCCCCAAAGTGGTGCTTGAGGAAGTCGAATAGCTGGTCCAGAACAGTGGTTCTCAACCTTCCTAATGCCGTGACCCTTTCATACAGTTCCTCATGTGGTGGTGACCGCCTCCCCACCCCAACCATAATATTCGTTGCTACTTCATCACTGTCATTTTGCTACTGTGATGAATCATCATGTAAATAAATATCTGATATGCAGGCTGTAGTTCCATTGTTACAAATTGAACATAATTAAAGCCTAGCGATTCATCACAAAACAATATTGTGAACTATTTACGTGTTTTCCGATGGTCTTAGGTGACCCCTTTGAAAGCGCTGTTCCACCCCCAAAGGGGTTACGACCCACAGGTTGAGAACCGCTGGTCCGGAGAGATGATTAAGACAGGTGTTGTCAGCAGTACAGTTTCACTAAGCATTCCTCCTGCTGACAAGTCAAGGTCATCACTCCTGGTGCCTGGGGAAAGTGCCTCTCAGACTCCTCAAATGACCCAGACGCTCCCCCTCAGGGCCCAGCGGCTGGCACTGACCTTGTTCCCATTGTTGTACATGGCGACCAGGCAGTAGATGTGGTAGACGTGGCCGCAGCGGGACAGCTTACCCACTAGGTC